CCCCCCCCCCCCCCCCCCGAATCTTTTAAGGTTTCTTAGGAATTCCGGAAAACCAAGCCTGAACCCCCCTATATTTATGGTACCATGAAATTGGTTGCCTCACCCATTAAACTCTAAACTTGGTCTGCTTGTGTCTTGACTCGTTTGATTAATGAACAAAGGAAGGTTTAGTCTCCACGGATGGGAGAGATCTCTGTGTCTATGTAGGATGTACCTCCCAGGTGCTCATTAGTTTAATGGGGGTGGGTAGGGTCTGGAGTGGACACTTAACAACTTCTCTCCTGGACAGTGTTCTGGGCTGACAGGTGGAAAGCAGGGAAGACTGGGGATTCAAGAGAATATGCCCACATTTCCCATGGATTTTGTTCTGCTCTGTCCATGGTCTCCTTGGATCTGTTCCATGCCCACTTTGTCACCTCATTCCTGCCCCTTCTCCTACCTGCCCTCCAGGCTGCCTCTACAGGGATGTGCCTACTCTAACTGCTAACAGTTTTAAGAACCATATTAGATAAGTGCCTTCTTGCTTGGCCAGTGTGGCTCAGTGGTTGAGCTCCGACCTATGAACCAGGAGGTAATGTTTGATTCCTGGTCAGGGCACATGCCTGGGTTGTGAGCTCAATCTCCAGTGGGGGCGTGCAAGAGGCAGCCGATCAGTGATTCTCATCATTGGTGTTTATATCTCTCCCCTCCTCTCTGAAATCAATAAAAATATATTTTAAAAAAGTGCCCTCTCCTGGGAAACGAGATGCGGAGGTGATGGTTACATTTCTCTATTCTTTGGAAGATGGTGCCATTCGAAGCTCAGACATTTCTCTGAGTTGCTTTCAGTGGAAGAGCCTAAAGCTGTTTCCTGAGGGCAAAGATCAATCAATTCCAAATGTTCTAAGGCCTTTCTAACACCAACTCAGGTAAGAGGAATGGGAGACATTCACAGAGCTAGAAAGGGCCTATCAAAACAGCAGAAACCCTACGAAATACTGATGAAACCAAAGTCAGTTTTAGTTACCAGAACACAGGGCTGTCCCGGTCATCCTTGACTGTGTAGTACTCCTTATCCGTTTCAATTGCTTTAGTTAAACCGAAGTCTCCAATTTTCACTTGGTGCTCACTTTCAACAAGGACATTCCTTGCTGCTAAGTCCCGGTGAACATACTGTCGTGACCCCAAATAGTCCATCCCCTGGGGAGAGAAGTAAAGGCAGAGGGCATTGCTGAAGGTCAGTTCACACTATTTCCTATCATTTCAAACAAAAAAAATACAATTCACACATCACTGTTTGGGTTTTTACTTTATGCAAAAATAGTAAGACCAATCTGATTCAAAGAAACACAGTAAATCAGCTATACTTAACAATCAGTTCAGTTTCTTAGTGGAGGCTAACTGTCCATCCTAGTCGCGTTGAGCAAAATAAACTCAGCGCAGTTATCAGAAAGTCTAATTACAAACCAATCACCCAGGATGAATGCCCCTTTTGTAATCTTTAACATGCTGCTTCTTTACCTTACAAATCTGAACAGCATATTTTAACTGCTGTTTGAGGTTAATTTTGTTCTTATTCTTTGGAAGATATTCCTTAAGGCTTCCAGAAGGCAGAAATTCCATGATGAGCTTAATACCATTTCCTCCTGTATTCAAAACAGAACAAAACATCAGTACGAAGTTACCAAAGAAAGGAACTGAGGGAGAGTAATGGGCACAGGATCTGGAGACACTTCAGCATCACCCCTAACCACAGGCAAGTCCCCCAACCTCGAAAGCCCCACAGCCTCTGGCCCCTCAGCAGTGACAAGGATAGTAACACTTGTGTACCCACCCCAGAGCCATCAGCATTCACTGAGAGAATACAGAGTGCGCAGCAAACCACCAGGCAAATAATAATGAAAAAAAAAAAATGAACCACATCATTTCACTGCCAATTTTAAAGTACTGGCTTGCAAACAGATACACTTCTTAGTAAACACCATTTGCCACCTTGCCTTAGACAACTAGAAAACGAAATATCCTGGCTAGAGTTGGATCAGAAGACGAGGAGAAGCGAGGGGTGGGTGTCAGTTTCATACTGCTGCGTGCCTCCAGTGCCAGTATCCGATGGGTGATGGTCAGTCCCCCGGGTGGGTGTATGAACAGCCTGGAAAGATGATGCCGGGGTCATCCCCTGGCTGGCAGGGAGGCTGCGCGGCTTCCCTGGAGCTGTGCAGCTGCTGAGGGATGTCAGTGCCTACAACTTCGAAGCCCTACAGCTCATGGGCTAGCGCACATACAGCTGCGGCACTGCCGCCTCAGCACTGGCCCTTCTGATCCCAGATAGGCACTTAGTCTTTAAAAACCAACCCTACTTTGCACAACATACCATCCTCTGTGCAGATGCCTTTGTACTTGACAATGTTCTCGTGATAGAGGTTCCTTAAGATTTCAATTTCCTTCTTCAGATCAGCTATGTGGTTCCCTCCACTCTCAGGCTTCAGGGATTTGACAGCCACCTGCTCTCCTGTATTGTCCCCTTCAGGGTCATACCTGCAGAGCTCAACCTTCCCAAAGTGGCCCTGGAGGAAAGATGCACGTGCTGGATTAGCCGGATGCACTCAAGAACTCCCAATGGGGAAAGGCTATCTTTTCAACAAATGGTGCTGGGAAAACGGGACAAACACATGTAGAACAATAAACTGGAACCCTACTTCACACCACTCACAAAAATTAACTCAAAATGGATCAAAGACTTAAATATAAGACCTGAAACAATAGAACTCCCATAAGAAAACATAGGGAAGCAGCTCACTGGAATACTGGTATTGGAAATGATTTTTTTTATACATGATGTTAAAAGCCCAAAAGAAGAAAATGAACATATGGGACTACATCAAACTCAAAAGCTGTACAGCACAAGAAACAAATTAACAAAATGAAAAGACAGCCTACAGAATGGGAGAAATATTTTGCAACCATATACTGGATAAGGGTTTAATATCCAAAAAATATATAGAACATAAATACGTTAATAAAATAAAAAAAACTGAAAAACTTAATAAAAAATGGGAAGAAGAACTAGAGACATTTTTCCAAAGAAAGGATACACAACAAGATGCTTAACTTCACAGGGAGATGCAAGTACAACCCACAAAGAGCTATTACTTCACATCATTAGAATGGCTACCATCAAGAAAATAAAACGACAGGTGCTGGTGAGGATGTGAAAGGGAACCTTACACACTATTGGGAATATTTATTTGTCCAACTACTACAGAAAAAAATATGAAGGTTCCTCAAAAAATTAAAAATAGATCTATAATGATCTAGCAACTGCACTTCTTGGAGAATACCCAAAGGAAATGTAAAAAGGAATTCAATGACATATTTGTACTCTATGTTTATCACTGCACTATTCACAATAGGCAAGATACAGAAAAAATACAAATGCCCATCAATGACGAATGGGTAAAAGAAAGAAATAATGCATACATACAACGGAATAGTATTTAGTCATGAGCAAGGTGATATTCTGCCATTTGCAATAACATAAACAAACCTTGAGCACAATATGCTAAGTGAGATATGTCAGACCAGAGAAAGACAAAAACGAACAAAAAATCTAAAAAATCAAACCTCTTTTAAAAACACAAACCAGTTATTTAGTAGTTACCAGGGATTTAGGACAGATGGTGTTTAAGGGTATGGACTTGTAACGTACTAAAATAGCCACAAAGATTTAATGTACAGTACACTGAACATAGATAATACTGCATTATAAGTATGCAATGTGGTAAACATCATTACATAGGCAGCCATATTATAATATATAAGTCTATCAATGTAGCACACACTACATACCTTTAATTTATACAATGTTACATGTCAAATTTTTTCAATTAAAAAAAAAGATGAGTCTTGCTCCCCGTGCTGTTCCCCTGAAGACCAGCGGTGCCTAGCACAGGCTGACCTTGCAGTAGCTGGCTCCTGCTGGCTTCTACCATCACCACAGCTGCTTCCTCACATGCCATCCCCTCTATTACTGAGCTAAGACAAGGCAAGTATCAGGTGGCTAGTGAATCCAGTTTCCATGGAAATGTAACCCAAAGGAAAGGTGGTTATTTTTGGCCAAGTAGGACCACTGTGGCATTCGTGGACAGCCCAGGGCCCACCCTCCAAGAGAGGACCATGGAGCCTTGCATGGGAGCCCTTTGGAAGGGATTAGATCCCAGCTTAGTGACTTGACAGTGATGTTGGCCCAGTCACCAAATCTTTGAGCTGGTCCAGAGGTGCTCAATGTATAACCCAGCATGTAGCCTGGCACACCACAGACATTCAAGGCAGGACACAGTCTTATTTACTTAACGGAACTACAGAAAAATCTGTATAAAGATGCAAGTCCCAGTATCTTCTCTATCACGTTAAATGTTAGGAAACTGATTTGAGGTCCAAAGGAAAGCTGCTATGGCATTCTGTGTAGTAAATCCACCCCCATTTAAGCAGCCTCGTAGGACACAGATGCCCAGAGATTTTCCTATTTCCACAGTATCTGTACCTACTCCCCCATATTGCTCCCTCTGCATGCTCTTCTCCCCCTTCGGGAACATGCCCTATGTGCATATACAGCCACATGCGCATGCTGTCACTATGTGAGCGACATAACCCGTGATACAAGTGTCCCAAAGAAAGTGCAAAAAGATACTTTCTCTTATGAACTTTGACCAGAAATGGGAAAGAATGAAAAGCAGCTTTAAATGCAGATGGAGAGGATGTGGTCAGGGAGTACTAGGATGTAACTTGCCTCTCCCAAGTCACGGATTCTCTTTAAGAAGCGCTTCTCAAAATGTGTGGGATCCACTTCAGTTGCTGGCTTTTTCTCTGAAACGATGTCTGGATCTAACAGAAGAAAAATGAAAACATTAAAAAGACATGACTGCCACTCACAGGCTCCCAGTTATCAGTTATCCCTGCCCCCCAACCAGCTCTCCAGGGCATGGGCTGATCTTGGTTACGTAAACAGGGCCAGGCAGTGTCTTACTCTGCTCTTCCAGCTTATTGATGTCTCTCATGATAGCTCGGAAAAAGGGTCTCTGGTTGGGGTCGTAGTTCATGCAGCGAGTCATAAGGTCAGCCAGCTCCTTACAAGACGGTGTCACTGGTCTGCACCGGCTTTCGTAGAATCTCTCTTTCTGTGAAGAAGAAGAGAACATGGAAGAAACCAAAGGAACCACCCACAATCCTTTTAGAGCCAGGGCAGGAGGAGTAATCAATCCTAATTTAATTTCCAACAGCTCTGCTTAAAGGTAGATTTCATAGACGTGCATGGGAAAATCTCTGATAAAATAATCTGAACCCCAAGAAGCTGCATTCCAGTCAAGTAACCCAACCTTTCTGGAATACAGTTTGGCAACATGTATAAAAATCTCCAGGTCCTTGAAACCCTTTGACTCATTAATTCTAATTATTGTATGACAGAAATAAATCAGTTATAAACAAAGATTTATATGTCAAGGTATTCCCTGCAAAATTAGATAGAACAATGCAAGTTTGAAAACAGCCCAAATGCCAGATATAAAATTAGTTGAGTAAGTTAGAGTTTAACAGAGCAATCAACACTTACAATGAATTTGTAAAATTATAAAGCTTATTTAATCAAGTACTCAATATTAATGAAATGATACAGCATGTATAACTCTAGCATGATCCCAATTTTGTTTTACAAAGAGATATGAACAGACTGGAAGACAGTATGTCAAAGTGTAAAACAGTGGTCAGGAGTGACAGAAATATGGTGATTGCTATTTTCTTCAACTGTTTATTACTTTAAAATTCAGAAACAAATAATTGATGCCACTCAAAAAAGAAATAAGTGAAATTACTACCCTCCAGTTTCTGTCTGTAGCTGAATCTCAAGAGTACTAGTTCCTCTTCTTGTCCCCCTGAGGGCGAGGAGGTGAGAAGTAGGGTCCCAGGGGAGGGGAGAGATTAGGATTACAGAGCTGAGACCGCCCTCATCTCTGAGGGTCACTCACTTTCCCTGTCACAGGGCTGTCCAACCCAACCAAGGCTACCGGGGAGGAGACTAGCAGACTTCTTTTATCAAAGGCACACACCCTTCCTCACACCATCCCTGTATCCTGCTCAGCCCTGGGTACACAGCAGGTACTCAATAAATTCTGACAGACAACAAAGGGTATGCTGTTTTATTTCCAAGGAAGTTCAAAATAAAATGATCTTCCCAAAAGCCTAGGCTGAAAATTCCAAAGAGATTTATAAACCTGCTGGTTTCCCTACTGGTTTTGCCTAATACCCTTTTCCCAAGTCCTGCACCATCTTTACTTGGCCAAAGATTAACTGGTTAAAGGTTCTCCCTCTTCAGTGACCTCCTACTACACACCCTCCACTCTGGGTCCCACTGCCACTCCTGTTCTAGCCTCGGAGCACGAGTCCCTGCTGGTCTCTCCTCAGCCTGTCCATTCCAACCATGTGTGCAGATGAACTGTCCCCAAGCCGACCTCTGACCATCTCTCTCCTCAACGAAACTCTTCAATGTCCCATACGACACAGCCAAGTAAAATTCATGCCATCGGGGCTTTTTACAATCTGACCACAGACATCTCTCCAAACTTATCACCCGTCATTCCTCACCATACTCTAGGCCAACGAAACCGCTCACTGCTTCCCACAGACAACTGAAGTGCCACCTTCCCCCTGGACTTCGAGCAGCTCCTCCCAGCTACAAGGTACGTCTACACGTCTGAACGCAGGCATATTCCAATCTCCAAATCACTGGGTCAGGGTCAGTGGCCCTTTACTGTTACTTTTACTACTTTATCCCTTTGGAGTCAAGAGTCT